TGATTTTCTTCTGATTAAACTGTCTTATAGGTTTTAATTTTTGTACTGGACTTAGACCCTATAACATTGATTTGTACATCAGATCTATTTATTGATTCTGAGGACAAAGATAAACTAATATTATCAATATGTTCACTATTATCCTCTTGTACTTCTTCTATAGATCCAAAAGATCTTAATGCAGAGACTGTTGCAAATCATTGATAAATAAGAGAACTATTAAAATAAAAAATCAATGATGATAATTCTTCTCCAGGTCTAAAATAATAGGTGTTTTAGTTTTATATTTGAAACAACTATTTTCTAAGTTATTTATCTTAAAATAGGAGATAAACCTCGATGATTTCGTCACTGCGAAGAGCGATGAATTGCTTCGACATTCCTATGGGAATGAAATATGATCACCAAAAATTTAATGTCTTACAGTAGTTAATAATTTTATTTTTAATCCAAAGATGGCTCAGATGATTCAGTTTATAGAGCTTGACGAGCTGATTCTAGTGGTATAAATCATTTTTCCTGATGGAGCTTAAAACTAGAGAAACAAGATTACTGAAATCACATTCCAACGGGTTCACTGGTAGGACTATCTCCACAATAGTATGTAAAACCAAACCGATATTTCCAGAGCAGATAGAACTCATCGATAGCTGCAAAATGGTAAAAAGTTATGCGGAAAAATATATTGCCTTGGGAATTTCTTGGCTAAAACACTGTTAAAATTCTATGAAAATTTAATTTCAAGGACAGTACTGATAGAATGATCTACACTGTCAGAGTGTCCTGATAATGACTTTTCCAGACCTTTTTCTACCATACTGCAGTCCAGAGCGAGCTTCGTCTACCCTGAAAATATCACTCTGATTTGATGAACTATAGTGGAGATTATCTTATCAGTACTGCCGTTGAAATCAAACTTTCATATACTTTAGTAGTTTTCGGTCCAAAGTCTTCCCAGAACAGCAGATTTTCTCACATCACTTTTTCCCATTTTTCAGCTATCGACGAGCTCCATCTGCCCTGGAAATATCGCTTTGGTTCTATGTACTACGATGGATATAGCCCTATCAGTACTGTTCTCGAGATAGAGTTTCAGCAGTATTGTAATCCGAAAAGCCCAAGACAGTTTATTTTTTCACATAATTTTTTACCATTTTGTAGCTCTCGACGAGTTGTATCTGTCCTGAAAATTTCGCTGCGGTTCTATGTACCATGATGAAGACCACCCTATCAGTATTGCTCTTAGAGTGTGATTTCAATAGCGTTATTTTTCTAGTTTTAAGCTCCATCGGGAAAAAGGATTTATGCTACTAGAATCAGCTCGTTGAGCTCTACTGACTGAGATATCTCTGATTTGAAACGGTGATTTACACTTGAGGACCTTCTCTCGTAAGCGGAATAACTAGATATAACAACGACTATGCTTAATTTTTAATAAAATAGGAAGAGAAAACAGCATAGAAAAATGATCGGCTGAGCCGTCGAGACACAAATAAAAATATTAATTTTTAAGAATTTTCAACGTGTTAAATCAGTTGCTGGAGATATTACCGTCTGGTTTCTTGTCAATAAGTTCTCTACCATCATTTTCTTTGTTTTGCATTGAAAAATTTGAGCCACTGCCGATTCATAATGCATCGTCTTACACTTCTATTCGTATGACATAGAATTCTTCTAGTAATCGTTCTAAATATCTTAGTTTTTTATTTATTGACTAATTATCAAAAAAACAAAAAAATGGAAAAATTTTCAATTTTAACTATTGTATATTGACAACAAAGAATTATTTGTAAAATATAGAAAAAAAAAATTTTTTTTACATAAATGTTTCTAAACCAGCCGATGAACGAGCAAGTATATCAACATCTGTTGCTTGATCAATAATACAATCAATTTATTCATCGACAGTTAATTTATGATAACGATTTGAATTATATTTTAATAAAATTTGTGCACGTTTACTATCTATTTTATCACCACGAACAACTTTTTCCATTTGATGACGTGCTTCTTTTAAATTTGATGAACGAAGAAAACTATTTCATTTCAAATCAGATCTTAAACAAAAAAAAAACAAAATTCATAAAAAATAATATTACTCATTTATTCATACCCAATTATAAGAGCTGGATTAATTCCATTAAGTTTTAATCGTGCACTTTTAATTCGATCTTTTGCATAGATATCATCCGAACGAAGTATATTTATTTATAGAAAAAAAGAAAAAATTTCTTATTTTTTATTTCATTTCCATCCCATTCTGTGCAACTTGTTTACTTGTTTTAAGTGCATGTTCCTATAATTAAAATTAGTTTTGTGTGTGTTTTGTTTTTATAATATAAACAAAAAAGTTCCCATCTATTCCATTAATGGTTCTTTAATAAATCCATCCATTGTACTAACTAATAAATCCGAATTTTGACGTAATGCATTCATTGTTGCACGAAATAAACCAGCTCTACCAATATGTGACATTAATTGTGTAACTTGTCGTGTTAAACGAATTGGTATTAATTCTGGTACGGATAAATGCTAAAAGAATAAATACAAAAAAAAAAAAGAAGAATTTTGTTTTTCTATATTTAATAATATAATTTCATATTTAGAATCGTAGCTGCATTAAATGCTCAACCAAAATCAATACCAATTATTTTATCAGATGATGTATCAATAATAAAACTAAATAGTTTTATGAAATATAAGTATTACATGGATTTCAGACTAGACTCAACGTTTATTTCATTAGTATCCGTAAAAAATCTTATCCATTTAAATAGTTGGTTTTAAGAGTATGGATTTTCATTAAAACATCGTACTCACCAAAATAGCGTAGTCCGAAAACATAGATACTCATACTAGCTCAACCTTGATATGGTATAGTGTCATCTAAATCCCTACTGCTAAATAGAAGGCTGAAGTGTGATTTGATTTAATGAGGAAATGTTTTCAACTTATAAAGTGCTTTCTCTTTCAAAGTTAATTGACTATAAATTATTAATCATGGATTTGAAACAAATAAGTTATTATTTTCTAGACAATTTGATAGGCTCTATAATCTGGATAGATTAAAAGAGACTTTTGGCAAAAAGTTTGTTCGTCTTGAAAAGTAACTTATAAAGGTCTAAGGGAATTTGTCATAGTCCTATTCGAAATCACCATAATCAATAACTTGAAATCCACTAGCTTTCGATGATAAAGCAAGTGATCAGTTGAAAATGTTCCTTCGTAAGAAGATGTTTTTAATGAATATGCATACTGTGTTAAGCACTACAGGGTGTAACAACTATTCATAGGAATAACGCCTTTTATGGAAATTAATAAGATAAACTTGGGTTTAGTCCTTCGAATATTTAACATACTTCAATTGATGTCGAT